AAAAGATTGTGAATAGGGTTGGAGCGAGAATGCAGCCTTGTTTCACACCATTGGTTATTAGAAAGGGCTCAGAAAGTGCATCATCATGTCTGACTTGGCCATGCTGATCCTCATGGAGTGAGATGATGATCATCTTGGGGGGACAACCTAAACATTCCAAAATCTGCCACACACCTTTTCTGCTCACAGTATCGAAAGCCTTGGTGAGGTCAACAAAGGTTCCATAGAGACCTTTGTTCTGTTCCCTGCACTTCTCTTGCAGTTGTCTGAGAACAAATCCCATGTCTGTGGGGCTCCTGTTGGCTCTGAAACCACATCGGCTTTCAGGAAGAAGTTCTTCTGCTATAGCAGGTATTAGTCTGTTCAAAAGTACTCTTGCCAGGATTTTGCCAACAATGGGGAGCAGAGTAATACCCTGGTTAGTTTGAGCAGTCTGATTGTGCTGGTTTAAAGGTAAACCAGCAGGGAAAATGAACTCAACCCAAAACAGAGATTATAATTCGGAATAACAATTTAATAAAATAACTCAATAAGTACGATTCTACAGACAAACAGTTGTTTTTAACCCACAAAACCCAAATGTATAACCCAGCACCCTGGGGCCTGAACAGAGCGGTGTTCTTTGGGGCCCCTGAGTCCAAAGAAAAAGGAGAAGGTTAAAAAACCTGTTGGTGAGAGTGGTGGTCACAGTCTGGTTGAAAAGTGGTGGTTGCAGTCCAATTGAGAGTGGTGGTCTCAGTCTGGTTGACAGTGGTGGTCTCAGTCTGGTTGACAGTGGTGGTCTCAGTCTGGTGGACAGTGGTGGTCTCAGTCTGGTTGACAGTGGTGGTCTCAGTCTGGTTGAGAGTGGTGGTCTCAGTCTGGTTGACAGTGGTGGTCTCAGTCTGGTTGACAGTGGTGGTCTCAGTCTGGTTGACAGTGGTGCTCAATAGTCTCTCTCTGGATCCCACGAGTGTGGGAGCCCAAACCCAGTTTCCAGCAAAAGAAAGCTCTGTTGACAAACATCTAACGATCTGAAGAAATTTAGACCCTTGTCCAGACCTGCTGATGCACAACCCAAAGATAAAAACCTGTCTCCAAGAAGAATTAAGAAAGGACTTTTTGAGATGATTGTTAAAACCATGTCTGAACCCCTGTAATCCCTCCATCCCCCATGGAATCCTACTAGAAGAAAAATTAACTCTTTGGAAACTGCAGTAAAAACTCGTGTAACTCCCCAATTAACACAGGTTGGCCCCTTCATTACCATGTCCAGCCCCAGATGCCTTTAAAATTGTGTTCTTGTGTTCACACCCCTTAAGAGAAAGAAGAATTCCAACTGCAAGAAATCAAAACTGCTGCCTTAAAAATAAGAGACACCTAAACCAGCACCACAGAAATTGATTTGGAAGAACTGCGCCCCGAAAAGTGAAAAAAAGGACTTCTTCTTCTTTCTGCCTTTCTTTCTTTCCCTTCTTTGTTTCTTTCTTTCCCTTCTTTCTTTCTTTCATTTTGTTCCTTTCTTTCTTTCATTTCGTTCCTTTCTTTCTTTCCTTTCTTTCTTTCTTTCTTTCTTTCTTTTTCTTTCTTTTCTTTTTTCTTTCTTTCTTTCTTTCCTTCCTTCCTTCCTTCCTTTCTTCCTTCCTTCCTTCCTTCCTTCTTCCTTCCTTTCTTTTTCATTCTTATGAGTTCCGAGTTCCTTCCGAGTTCCTTCCGAGTTCCTTCCTTCCGAGTTCCTTCCTTCCGAGTTCTGAGTTCCTTGCAAGTTTCTTCCTTCCTTCCTTCCGTGTTCCTTCCGAGTTCCTTCCTTCCTTCCGAGTTCCTTCCGAGTTCCTTCCTTCCAAGTTCCTTCCTTTCTTCCGAGTTCCTTCCGAGTTCCTTCCTTCCAAGTTCCTTCCTTCCTTTCGAGTTCCTTACGAGTTCCTTCCAAGTTTCTTCCTTCCTTCCAAATTCCGAGTTCCGAGTTACTTCCGAGTTCTTTCCTTCCAAATTCCTTCTGCGTTCCTTCCTTCCTTACGAGTTCCTTTCGAGTTCCTTCCGAGTTCCTTCCTTCCAAGTTCCTCCCTTCCTTCCTTCTTTCCTTCCGAGTTCCTTCCTTCCGAGTTCCTTCCAAGTTCTGAGTTCCATCTATCCTTCCGTCCTTTCTTCCTTTCTTCCTTTCTTCCTTCCAAGTTTCGAGTTTCGAGTTCCGAGTTCCGAGTTCCTTCCGAGTTCCTTCCTCCTTTCCTTACGAGTTCCTTTCAAGTTTCTTCCTTCCTCCCTTCCTTCCGAGTTCCTACCGAGTTCCTTCCGAGTTCCGAGTTCCTTCCTTCCGAGTTCCAAGTTCCTTCCGAGTTCCTTCCGAGTTCCTTCCAAGTTCCTTCCTTCCGAGTTCCTTCCAGTTTCGAATTCTGAGTTCCTTCCTTCCGAGTTCCTTCCGAGTTCCTTCTGAGTTCCTTCTGAGTTCCTTCTTTCCTTCTGAGTTCCTTCCTTCCGTGTTCCTTCCTTTTTTCCCTCTGAGTTCCTTCCTTCCACGTTCCTTCCAAGTTCCTTCCAAGTTCTTTCCTTCCTTCCTTCCTTCCTTCCGAGTTCCTTCCGAGTTCCTTCCTTCTTTCCGAGTTCCTTCCTTCCGAGTTTTTTCCTTCTTTCCTTATGAGTTCCTTCCAAGTTTCTTCCTTCCTTCCTTCCTTCTGAGTTCCTTCTGAGTTCCGAGTTCCTTCCAAGTTCCTTCCGACTTCCTTCCTTCCTTCCGACTTTCTTTCTATCCTTCCGAGTTCCGAGTTCCTTCCTTCCTTCCTTCCTTCCATTCTTCCTTCCATCCTTCCTTCCTTCTGAGTTCCTTCCTTCCGAGTTCCGAGTTCCTAGTTCCGAGTTCCTTCCGAGTTCTTTCCTTCCGAGTTCCTTTTGTCCTTCCTTTTGAGTTCCTTCCTTCCCTCCTTCCGAGTTCCTTCCTTCCTTCCTTCCTTCTGAATTCTGAGTTCCTTACAAGTTCCTTCCTTCATTCCTTCCGAGTTCATTCCAAGTTATTTCCTTTCGAGTTCCTTCCTTCCTTCCCTTTTTCCGAGTTCCTTCCTTCCTTCCTTCCTTCCAAGTTCCGAGATCCCAGTTCCGAGTTCCGAGTTCCTTCTGAGTTCCTTCTTTCCGAGTTCCATCCTTCCTTCCGAGTTCCTTCCAAGTTCCAAGTTCCTTCCTTCCTTCCTTTCTTCCTTCTGAGTTCCTTCCTTCCAAAATCCTTCCGAGTTCAATCCTTCCAAGTTACTTCTTTTCGAGTTCTGAGTTCCGAGTTCCAAGTTCCTTCCTTCCTTTCTTCCTTTCGAGTTCCTCCTGAGTTCCGAGTTGCTTCCGAGTTCCTTCCTCCCTTCCTTCTGAGTTCCTTCCGAGTTCCTTCCTTCCTTCCTTCCGAGCTCCTTCCTTCTGAGTTCCTTCCAGTTTCTGAATTCCGAGTTCCTTCCTTCCGAGTTCCTTCCGAGTTCCTTCTGAGTTCCTTCCTTCCTTCCTTCCGAGTTTCTACTGAGTTCCTTCCTTCTTTCTGAGTTCCTTCCTTCCGAGTTTTTTCCTTCCTTCCTTCCTTCCTTCCNGACGCGGGGGGGGCACTGGGAGAGTCTGGGATGGACTGGGATGGACTTCGAGAAACTGGAATGGACTAGGAGAGGCTAGTGGGCATTGGAAGGACTGGGAGGGACTGGGATGGACTAAGATGGACTGGGAGGGGCAAAATGCCATGGGACGAGCACAGGAAGGGCTGAGGGGTCTGGGGTGATTCTTAAGGAGGGTTTGAGGGGCTCCAGGGTCATTCCCGGGGCAGGGGCCGAGGGGACCCGCTCTGCCCCACGCTCACCTCTCCTCTCTACACTGAACGGGGTGACACCCTCGTAGTTTCGTGGGCAGACTGTGTCCACCTGCGACCGTGTGTAGTCCAGAAAGTTCTGGTCGCTGTTCCAGTGCTTGGCCTGGATCTCCCCAAACGGGGTGTCCCCCAGAAACACCCCCACATCGCTGTCGAAGTGGGCGAACTGCTCCCGGTTGTAGATGAGCCTCTCCATGAACCTCACCCGCTCGGTGCCGTTGATGAAGTGACACTCACACTTTCCCATAAACTGGAACACCCCTGTGTGTGCAGGACACGGGTCAGGGGGTGCTCCGTCCCCTCCATCATCCCCCAGCCCCCCACAGCAGGCTGGCAGCTCAGGGGACCACCCCGGCCCTCCCTTTCCCACCCCCCTCTGCCCCACGGATGCCCCAGCACCGGCTCTTGGCTGGGGGGAACCCCCCCATCAGCCCCCGGGGATGGACAGGGGGGTTGGGGACCCCCCCACTGCGGGTCCAACCCCCCCAGAGCCCCAGGGAACCGCTCCAAGGCTCAAGGGACACCCGGGGACCCCCAGGGTACCCCTCTGTCTGCTCTCCCACACCCTCTTTCCCCCCTCTCCCACCCCTTTCCCACCGTCCCCTCAATCCCCAGACCCCCCCAACCTCACTTTGGGGGTCCCACCCCCTCCCACTCACTCTGGGCCTTCCAAACCCCCTTTCACTCACTTTTTTGGGGCTCCCACCCCCTCTTTTCTCCCCTCTTTCCCCCCCTTTCCCACCCCCCGCTCACCCGACAGCTCCTCGCCCGCAGCCGGGGGGGCTCCCAGCACCACCAGGACCGCCAGCACGGCCCCAGCTCCCCGCACACGCTCCATGCCCAGCGCCGGACAGCTG